GTTCAGCAGCCCTGCTTGACATAAATTTAGTTCATTCTATGTCCTTAACTTCAAGGTTTCTACTCAGGAGCCCACGAAATTAAAAATTACTTTCTCTGCTGCATTGGTTTTACTGCTGTAATGCACATACACACATGACACACCATGATGTTAAATGAAGGAGCTTAAATTAAAAACAAATTCAGAGTGTTCTGTTGATCATGGGGCTTAATTAAAATTGAGCCTATCACGTACCGACTCTGACTGACTCACCTACTCCCTCCGTACGATGCCACTTTGTCTGTGAATTGATTAAAGTATCTCCAAAACTAGCTCAGTGCCTGGCTTGTGCTAAACTATAAAACTGAAGTCGCCTTCTGTCTTCATCTGAAGGCACAGACTTATGGCACAGAATGTATATGCTTATAAAAATTAACAGATGCTCGAAACTAAACGTCGCTTCACAAAAACCTGAAGCCCCAGGAGAGAGCTGAGCGGTCCCTAGTGTGTATGTGCTGCTGGGCCCAGGGGCGTGGTGGCTGCCCATGGAGCTTCTCCTTTACCCACCAGGACTGATCACCGTGTGACAGTGGCCCCAGGGCCGATGCTCCGGGCCATCCTGTGCAGAGCACCTGTCGGGGCGGTACCTGTTTTAGTTTGTTCTATTTTCAAAACCGTATACAACATCCAACTTGGGTGGGAATACTGAAAACACTGAGGCCAGCTCGCATCCATCGTGTTCAGTTTCATGAAAATAGTAGTGATTGGAGAATTGGGCAGGTGATTACTTAGAATGTCCTTCTGTGCTGTTTAGCTGGTTGACAGGGTCATCCGTGACATCAGCGTTCGTGATGATTCATTTTTTTTGAGGGGCCATCCAAGGCCCCTGCGCCCCATCCGCAGTCGCCCTCCTGGGCTGGCTCAGAAGATCTTCACCCCATGGTGATTCATTTCTAAGAGATCAAGTTGGGGAAATAATTTTCAAGTTCTGTGTCTCCTTCCCCACCTGCTCTGGGCCCTTAATCCTCTAATGGCCATGATTCTGAAACTAATACATAGCCCAAGGCCTAATCAGAGATAAAACTTCCTGTCTCTTCCTGGGTTTCCTCCAAGTCGTCAAGCCCTGGGTTTAGTATGGAGATAAGGTGAGGTTTTTCCCTTAAAGATTTGTTTTTATTTGGTCGGTTTGGGGCAAAGGGACACAAAAATACAAACTATAAATCCATGTGTCTCTGAGATGCGTTTCTGCTGCCAGCTGTGACAGGTGACAGCCCGCCCCAGAGTTGGATTTTCTCAGACCCCCATTTCCCTGAGTTGTCATTCGTTTATATGGAGTGATCTCTTGCTTTGCAAGATTTGTACACCTTAAATCAAATGTTTGCAGAGTCGGCGTAAAAGCCAGTGGATGGGGGCGGGGTGCTTGCTGGTTTTGTCCTGCTGGGAGGGACGCGAGGCAGGGGCCGGGCTGGTGGGTGCTCACCGGCGATAAGTTCCTGGGTTTGGAGAAAGGAGGCAGCCTGGTCTAGGAATTCAGTTTAGACCTGGATTATCCGGCTCCCGCCGTCCGTAGGGCTCCCTGAGGAACACAGCCGTGGATTAGACGCGGCCCTACCCGGCCTGATGCGTCAGGACACCTTCTGCTGGACAGTAGCCAAGGGGGGCAGAGCTTATCCGGTTTGGATGGGGAGGCTTCTCCAGGGTGGTCAGCTTGTGAGCTGAGACCTACGGGAATGGTCGGTCGAGCAAGGAGGGGGACAAAGGCTGGCTCAGAAACCACATGAACAGGAGTGAAAACGGGACTGGGGTTGGGAGGGGCATCCTTCTGTCTCTTTGGTCGATCTGGGGAAGCGGGGACAGGTGACACAGCCCTGGTGGGCCATGGGGGGGTGGCTGGGTTTTATTCTGAGGCCACTGAGGGAGGCCAGTGTCCGTCCTCCTCTCCCTCAGCCGCGCCGGCCACTTAGTGCCTCCCGAGAGGCAGGACCCTCTCCCTTCCTTCACTGACGTCCCCCCTCCCCTCTTCAGCGCTCACCCACCAGCGCGCGTCTCGGGCCCAGGTCCGGTTTCTGTGGAGGCCTTTCCTGACCTCCCGCCCCGAGTTTAAATGCCCTGTGCCACCTCAGTACTCTCTCCTCTCTCTCTGCAGAACTCAGCACAATTTGCGCCTACGTACCAGCTCCTTCTTTATCCGTTTCCCCCACTGGATGGTCACTTCCAAGAGAGCAGAAACCCATGGAGAGCATACATGCTCTGCTCTCATGCACACGCAGGCAGGGCATGGCCTGTTTGGTGTGAGTCCATGTTCAGTAAATAATTGTTTATCAAATTCAGCAATACCTTTTTTCCCCAAAGAATATTCCTCATTCAGTGTCTTACCCTACATATTTTTCAGTAAATGAGACGAAAGACTAATTTTAATAAAAGTAATAATATCTTTCTAAAATATAATATATTCACGTATGCGTAGGGCACTGACATAATCACAAATTTAAACATTTCTCAATAAAATCTGTACATGAACCATAGTATAGCCACCTCTGGGATACTATGAACCATGTTAAAATGCAACCAGAATTTTCCACTGCTCTTAAAGTATTTATTTTTAAATAGCTGAGGATTAGAAAAATTAAAAATTTTTAAATTGACATATAGGTGATGTACGATATTCTGTAAGTTACAGGTGTACAATGTAGTCGTTCACAATTTTTAAAGGTTATAGTCCATTTACAGTTATTATAAAATGCTGGCTATATTCCCCTTGTTGTACAATATATCCTTGTAGCTTATTTTATACCTAAAGTTTATACTCCTTAATCCCCTACTGCTATCTTGCCCCTCCCCCTTCCCCCTCCCCACTGGTAACCACTAGTTTCTTCCCTGTATCTGTGAGTCAGCTTCTTTTTTACGTTCGCTAGTTTGTTGTATTTCTTAGATTCCACATGTAAGTGAGATCATACAGTGTTTGTCTTTCTCTGCCTGACTTCTTCACTTAGCATAATGCCCTCCGAGTCCATCCATGTTGCTGCAAATGACAACATTTCGTTATTTTTGATGGCTGAGTAGTATTCCATTGTGTATATGTACCACATCTTTTTTATACATTCATCTGTTGACGGACACTTGGGTTGCTTCTGCACCTTGGCAATTGTAAATAATGCTGCTAAGAAACGTTGGGCTGCATGTATCTTTTTGAATTAGCATTTTGGGTGTTTTTTTTTTTTTTTTTTTTTTTGGATATATACCCAGCAGTGGAATTGCTGGGTCCTATGGCAGTTCTATTTTTAGTGTTTTGAGAAACCTCCGTGCTGTTCTCCACAGTGGCTGCACCAATTTACGTTCCCACCAACAGTGCAAGAGGGTTTCCTTTTCTCCACGCTCTCTCCCAACATTTGTTATTTGTGTTCTTTTTGATGACAGTCATTCTGACAGGTGTGAGGTCGTATCTCCTTGTGGTTCTGATTTGCATTTCCCTGATGATTAAACGATGTTGAGCATCTTCTCACGTGCCTGTTGGCCACCTTCATTTCCTCTCTGGAAAATGTCTGTGCCGTTCGTCTGCCCATTTTTTTAATTGGGTCGTTTGTTTTTTGATATTGAGTTGTATGAGCTGTTTATATATGTTGGATATATATAAATAAACCCCTTATTGGTCACATCATTTGCAAATATTTTCTCACATTCAGTAGGTTGTCTTTTCATTTTGTCGATGGTTTCTTTTCCTTTGCTGTGCAAAAGCTTTTAAGTTTAATTAGGTCCCATTTGTTTATTTTTGCTTTTATTTCCTTTGCTTTAGGAGACAGACCCAAAAAAATATTGCTACGACTTATGTCAGAGTGTTCTGCCTATGTTTTCCTCTCGGAGTTTTATGGATTCCAATCTTACATTTAGGTCTTTAATCCATTTCGAGTTTATTTTTGTATTTGATGTTGGAGAATGTTCTAATTTCATTCTTCACAAGCGGCCGTCCAACTTTCCCAGCACCGCTTACTGAAGAGACTATCTTTTCTCCATTGTTTATTCTCGCTTCCTTTGTTGTACATTGATTGACCTTAGGTGTGTGGGTTTATTTTGGGGCTCTCTCTTCTGTTCCGTAGACCTATGTGTCTGTTCTTGTGCCAGCACCAAGCTGTTGGGTGAACTCCTAGTAGTGGTATAGAAGTTAGAGAAGGTGAAACGTCTAGCTGCTGCCTGTCTAGAAATCACTTTTTACAAATTCAAGAAATAGCTCGGGGAAATGAAAATTTAACACCGGTTAACACTGGTGCTGTCCATTCCATAACAAGTCTCCAGTTTTCAAGTAACGAAATACATTTAGCCCCGAAACCCTACTAAGCAGAGTGTCAGTTTTCTTCACTGCAGAACGTGAGCATCTCAGCCGGCCTCTGGGTCATTGTAAAGACCAGGAGCCGCCCCGGGCGTGGACGCAGAGCCCGGTGCCCCGCCCCCGGCCCTGCTCGTGGCTCGTGGCTCGTGGCTCGTGGCCCGTGGCCGGGTGGTAACTGGTGTCCTCTTTCCTCTGCAGCCCAGTGACTTCTCCGTGTCTCTCAAAGCATCAGGGAAGAACAAGCATTTCAAGGTGCAGCTGGTGGACAACGTCTACTGCATCGGGCAGCGGCGCTTCCACACCATGGACGAGCTGGTGGATCACTACAAGAAGGCCCCCATCTTCACCAGCGAGCACGGGGAGAAGCTCTACCTCGTCCGGGCGCTGCAGTGAGCCCAGTGGACGCGCCCCGGAAAGGCGCCCCGGCCCGGGCCCTCCCGCAGGCCCGCTCCCGGTGGCCGCCCCGTCCTTGCTCTCTCCAGCTGGTTTCCCTTTCTGTCTGGGTCGGTTCGTTTGCCATCCACCCTCCTTTGCCGTCCCAGGCCCTCCTGGACGGTTTTGGTGATGGGGAGGTGAAAGGGGACGAGTCAGCTCCCTTTATTCCTTCTCCGTGGGAGCCAGCCTTAGTCTGTTCAAATCGCTCGTGCCAGCGAACCCCCCCCCACCACCCTTTAAAGACATCGGGCGCGGTTCGGATGCACCGGAGCTGCCCTTACTTCCGTGAGCCACAGCGCACGTGACGGCGGGGCCGGGCCCTGGGTGGCACCTGCCCAGGGACCACCTGGCCTGGTCGCGGCATCCCTGGATCTGGGTCATTTGCGTTCACACAGCTCCCAGACTCTCCGGGGGGGACCCCGGGCACTCGTAGCAATACTGGAAGCACCGGGTGAGACGGGAGGGAAGAAGCTGTCCAGTGCCTTCGGGGCTGCACTTGCCATAAAGAAAAGAGCTCCTGGAAAGTCGGTCCAGAGGCTCGGAAAGACAGAGGTTTCGGAAATGTTCCCCCACGACGTGCCATCTGCGTATAGTGCTTTTTCCTCTTGCCCTTCGGCTCGTCTCAATCTCACAACGATGTGTTTAATTCTCAAAGTAATATGTATCTATAGCCATTTGTTGACACTAATACAGATGATTAAGGAAAACAGCTGATCTTTGGGAAAGGGGAGCGACCAACACTTCACACACACACGTACACTATATATATATATATATATATATATATATATAAAATTTGCTTTACAGGGAAATTTTTCAGGGTTTACAAAAGGATATGTGATTGGTAGTAGGAGACACAGAATGTTTATGAAGAAATTGCATTTTCTTTTTTCTTTACATTTGAACTCCTTTATAGTTTAAATATACACTCTTGAGATGGGCACATTCCTACAGCTGAGGAAGGGGTCTTGAGACCTCCTAAACTTGCATACTCAGTTTTTTGGATATTGTAATAAAAAAGTATTATGACACGACTCTCTGTGTGTTCATCTGTGGCAAAGCTCGGACTCAGCGATGGGACAGGAGCCCCTGCAGCCTTTCCTGAAATGCTCAGTGCCCGAAGCGGGGAGCATTTCTAGAGAGGTGGTGTTCTAACAAATTTATTACTTGTGTGTTTTCTTTTTCTACCGCCGCATTTTTGTATTTGAAATAATTTTAATTAGAGCGACTCCAAGAGAAACCAGAATCTCTTACTCTCACCTTTACTCTTTGGAAATTATCTGTTAAAAATATTTCACCAAACTGTTGTCAGCTAGCCTTCCCTCCCCCAGCTTTCCTCTCCCCCGTCCAGCTTTCCTCTCCCCTGTCCCACCTGCCTTCCGTGCGCTCGGGAAAGCCTTTGTCGAGCCCCCAAGGGCACTGGGCACCGGGAATACAGAGCCACAGGGCACGGCCTTGGTGCCCCCTTGGCTGATCACAGCTGACGTGTGCTCAGCGCTCCCTCTGGGCCGGCCATGGCATCCTCGTCCCAGCTCCTCGAGGCGATCCTGGGATCGTCCCCATCACACAGATGGGAAAGGTGAGGGACAGGTGATCACACGGGGCACGGCTGGTGCCTCGTGGGGCAGGTGACAAGCCCAGGACTCTGGCTTTGGGGCCATGCCCTCCCAGCAGCGGTCGGGGGGGGCTTCCAGGAGAAGTAAGGTATGTGGTGAGAGTTTGCACTGAATCTGCCATTCCTGTTCTCTGTGAGTTCGTTGTATCTTTAGTTGTTGCCTTTGAAATTAGACGTCTGGTGTCTGGGACCTGAGGTTGGGGGCACCTAGTTACATAAGAATAGAGCTCCAGGTGAGTGAGGCAGACCATCACCTTAGCCAAAACAGGCGGGTTCTGGACGTTGTCATGGAAATCCCACTTCCTCCCGACTCTCTGATCTGCCTGCTGTGTGTACCACGTCGACATCATGCGGGAATCCCTCTACACCGTGAGTGCCTGGACAGCAGAAACACTGATCTACACAGCAATTCAGGAGGAAACAGTTAAAGGACACACTACAGACACACGTTTTGGCTTCAGGAACTTCTTTAAGGCTTATAGCTGTCATTGACGATTAGTTTTTAATCTCAAACTACCGTGTGGGAGTCTCCAGCTGTGTGGGGCCCATCGGGATTCGTATCTATGCACTCCGGGACATATGCACTCCGGGACGTCCTAGCGCCAGGTGGGCCAGTGGAGCGTGAACTGGTAGTCCCAGTATGAGCCTGTCGATAGAGTGGGTGCGGGGGAGGGGATGTCAGGCAGGGTACCCGAGTGGTTCGGAGTGTGGACCACCGACGCTCTGTCCAGGTGCCACTTGTGCCATCACCTTCCTGCCTGGCCAGAGATTTCCTGGGCAAATCTGGTTTTGCTGTTCCCTTGCCTCTTTGCACAGACAGCAGAGGACAATAAGGTCGACTCTGCTCATTTGTTTGCATTGAACGTGCCTTCATTTTCTCCATTAACAGCCTGTGCGTTACAGTCTGGAACTAGCAGCCTCTTCACGAGTGGCTTTTGCCAAATGCCATTAAATCCTGTTTCTAGGAGCTAAAACTGTCCATATTCTCTTCCAAAGTGCCTCACAAATTAAAGTCTTAAATTGTAAATTAGAGTCTTTGTATCCCCTGAAACTCTTGACATTTCCAAACAAAGCATTTTTGGTGCCTTACAGTTTTGTCTTTGGTTTCTGTGTACTGACTGGTTTATAATCTACTTTTTTCGCCATTTCTACCACCCAGCGCCAGAATGCCAGAAAAATTTCTCAAGACCAAAGTTCAGAACCGAGAGGATAAAAAAGCTTGAAAGTATTCTTTTAAAATGCTACTTTTCAATAAACACAGGTCTGGTTTTGGCCATTTGCTCACTAGAATCCAGCATTATTCATCTGTGGGTGTTTGATTCACGTAATGAACATCATTTCCGCTCTAACACCTGGCCCGGGTGCCCTCTGCTGTCCCCAGAAACAGCCTCCCCTGTGCAGACGTGGCCGCTCCGGCGGGAGTGCTGGGTCACCCTTCTTGGCCCCGTGACTTCAAGCAAATTCTCCAGCCTTTCTGAGGGTTTGCGCCCAAGTCAGTAGGGCTGCCTCCACCTCTGTACTGAGGGTCGTGCGGCGTCAGCTGGGGTGGCGCCCTGGACAGGATCGTATGCTGTGGCCACGACCACAGGGGACGCCAGCCAGGCCTCCGTGTGTCATGTGACCCGCGTGACCCTGCCCTCGCTCCCTGTGGGCTTCCTCAGGGGCCCCACCCAGAGCTCTGGCCCGAGGAGGCCCTCAGGGAGGCTGGTCCTCAGCCTGTGGTCTTAGAGCCCACCCGTCCCCTCTCTTAGAGCTCAGCCTCGCCCAGCGTTTGAAGACGTGCTGCTCCAGCCAACTCCTTCTCCTGGAGCTGCAGCCCCAAAGCCACGCTCGACCGCGTCCTCACTTGGGTAGCTGACAAGCCCGCATCCCTGGAAGTCACCTCTCTTGAGGGGGGACACCCCTTGGTTTTGTCCATGTTACTGGGAGGAAGCCCTCACCTTTCTCGGCCCCAGCTGGCAGCACCGTAGCCATCGAGCGTCAGGCAAAAGCTGAGCACGCCAACAACCAAAGGTCCTGAAGACCTTTGCCCTGTCTCAGCTGCAGTCGCTGTGACAAAATACCGTAACCGAGTGGCGTGGAAACAGCAGATTTACTCCTCACGGTTCTGGAGGCTGGAGGTCTGAGGTGGCGGCGTCAGCGTGGCAGGGCTCTGGCGAGGGCCTCCCAGTTTGCAGACCTCCGACTTGGACCCTCCAGTGGTGGAGAGAGAGCCAGCGGCCCTCCGGCCGCTCTGATGAGGGTGCTCACCCCTTCAGGATACTCCACCCTCACGACCTCATCACCGCCCGAAGGCCCCGACTCCTGACACCTCCCGGGCCAGCGGGTTGCCTCTTCCGAGCACTTCGCTGGAGGTGCCGCGTACCTAGTTAATATGCACACGTTACTGTAAGTTCCGAGGGTCGACAAACGTGTTTACGGTTCTCTGGCCGCTCTCGCTATGGGGATGATGCCGACGACTTGAATGGATTGTAAAAGACAGTTTTGTTTTTTGGGGTCTACCTCTTTCATGGTAGAAAATGCAGTTTTCTGTTGCATTACAAATATTACAAAAAACTATTGCAATACAAATCTTTTTTAACTTAGAGGCAATGGAAAAAGTTGGACATACTAAAAATATACACTTGTTCCGAGGAAGGTGACCAGGAAAATTAAAAGTATAATTCTTCAATCAAGACACTGCCGTATTAGGGAAATGATGATAGTCTCATAAGTTCTTAAGTAGGATATCATCAGATGACAGGTTTGATGACAATCTTTTCCATGTACAGCAAACTACCCTAAAGGAAGAAACTGGAGAAGTGGGATCCCTCCACCACCAGATTCTGTTGGGGGGCCGGATGCAGACATGCAGCCTGGAGCACCCTCTTCTCAGCAGGTGGTACCCCACTGCCGGATACAGCGATTCAGACCTGGAGGGTAACGGCTCCATCCGCGAGAAAACACTCCTCCACGAGCTTCTCAACTGCGCTGATACCCACTGGAGGGCAGGGGCTCCCGGGACCTCCTGTGGGTAGTGGGGCCGGCACGGCAGCTACTATTCTGTCTCCCACTCTGTGTGCACACCTCCTGCAGCCTCACAGCCTGCCCTTTCTGTGCCTTGTCTGGAGAGAAACATCTGGTTGTCAGTGACTAGAATGGGCTCTTTTAAAACACAAAAAACCAAACCGATCCTTATTTGCCTGCACCTCCACTTGGATCTTTCCTAGCACAGCTCCCAGCCTCACAAGCTAACTGGAAAGACGGTGATGTTCCATCCTTGGGGGGAGGTCCTGTTGCTTGACTGGAAGTCGAGCCTGACGGCTGGTATAAAAACCCACTGCATGGACATATACACACTACC